CCTTGTCTTTATTAGTCTGAGAGACTGCTGGGGAGAAAACTTGAAACCTGGAAGGAAACAGTAGCCATATTTTTCATTGTAGAAGTACTCTTCACCTAACATTAGGTTATATTTATTAATGAGTATCATATTAAGAGCTCAGCTGTGCGATAGATATTGGATATGTTTTTGTGAATGTTCTCCAGACTAGGACTGTGCCTGAATTACAAAGATATCTCCAGTATGGATTTAAGATGAGGAAACTAATGCTGTGAAACTTTGTTAGTTTAATATTTTAATAATTTATTTTATAAAAAGCTAAGTAGCTGCTTCGGAAGTGTTGGATGGTTTTTTGGTGTGGTTTTTTTGTTTGTTTTGTTGGGGTTTTTGTTTGGGTGTTAAGATTTTGCTAGCTTAGCAGGACCAGGTCCACATATTATAGCTAATTAGGAAGAGCACTTGAGCGAAGACATGTTTTTACTTGTTTATAAGTCCTTGCATATACCAAACATACATATGTTGTTTTTTTTAAAATCTGGATAGTTGTTTTTTCTAAACATACTTCAAATTTCTAGAAGATGTCTTTTAAGATGGCCTGTGTATGTTAGTCAACTAGCAAATACTTGTTCTTGCTTGAGTAAAATCAAACCAAAATAATAACAGCTGGAAGCTTTTTTTTTAGTGCAACAGAACTAAAGTGTTTGAAAAACACCTATAGCTGCTTTTGTAAAAGCTGGTGTAAGGTACTTAAAAGAGTCCGTTATGTACTTTACAATTTGAATGGCCTCCAAGTAGCTGTGTTAGTCTCCTCTAGTTCTGTATGTACATGGAGATACCTTTTTAATTTGACAGTGAAATGATTATTTACAGATGCAGTGTATTTAATAAGCTGCTTTGAAGTTCCAGAAAATTTAGGTTTTAGCTTAAATAAAAATTTAAAAAAGCAAACTCTTTTGGAAAACAGTAGTGTAAAATAATTTTCTGTCTGTGTGTGGAATGACAGTGATAATTCTTAAGAAACCAAACCTAAACAATCTCTACTACTAACAATTTCTTGAGATTTTTCATGATCCGTGCCAACCTCAATTGAGTCTGTGAAAGTGGATGAGAAATTGTAGTTGTCATTATGTGTGGTAGAACTTACTTCATTAGATTTGGAAAATCTCAAAGTAGAAGTGCATCATAAGTATAGTTGAGTATTATTTTTCTCTTTGCATTGTGTATAACCTTCACAGTATTTATTAATACACTAGGTTAAAAAGAAAAAGGCTTGCCACGTTGCGGTGGTTTGACCCTGGCTGGATGCCAGGTGCCCACCAAAGCCACTCTGTCACTGTCCCCCTCCTCAGCTGGACAGGGGAGAGAAAAATAAAGTAGGCTTGCAGGTCGAGATAAGGACAGGGAGGTCACTCAGCATTTACTGTCACAGGCAAACCAGACTCGACTTGGGGAAAAAATGTAATTTATTACTAATCAACTTGGAGAGGAGTAATGAGAAATTAAACCAAATCTTAAAACACCTTCCCCCCACCCATCCCTTCTTTCCCGAGCTGAACTTTATTCCTGATTTTCTCTCCCTTCTCCCCCCGAGTGGCGCAGGGGTAACAGGGAATGGGGGTTGCGGTCAGTTCACCACACATTGTTTCTGCTGCTCCTTCCTCCTCAGGGGGAGGACTCCTCACACACTCCCCCTGCTCCAGTGTGGGGTCCCCTCTCACGGGACAAAGTCCTCCGTGACTTCTGCAGTGTTAGTCCTTCCCATGAGCTACAATTCTTCATGAACTGCTCCAATGTGGGTCTCCATCACGGGGTGCAGTCCTTCAGGAACCAACTGCTCCAGCGTGAGCCCCCCTCATGGGGTCTCTGGCAGCAAACCTGCTCCAGTGTGGGCTTCTCTCTCTCCATGGGCCACAGGTCCTGCCAGGAGCCTGCTCCAGTGCAGGCTTCCCACGGGGTCACAGCTTCCTTCAGGCATCCACCTACTCAGGTGTGGGGTCCTCCACGGGATGTAGGCAGATATCTGCTCCACCATTAACCTCCATGGGCTGCAGGGGGACAGCCTGCCTCACCATGGTCTTCACCACAGGCTGCAGGGGAATCGCTGCTCTGGTGCCTGGAGCATCTCCTCCCTCTCCTTCTTCACTGACCTTGGTGTCTGTAGAATTGAGTTGTTTCCCTCATGTATTCTCACTTCCCTCTCTCACTACAGTTGCCGCTGTGCAATAACTTTTCCCTTTCTTGAACGTGTTACCCCAGAGATGCTACTACCATCACTGATGGGCTTTGCCGGCGGGTCCGTCTTTGGGGCAGCTGGCATTGGCTCTGTCGGACATAGAGGAAACTTCTGTCAGCTTCTCACAGAAGCCACCCCTGTAACCCCCCTGCTACCGAAACCTTGCCACACAAAACCATTACACACGTAATTTGATTTGATAGCTGGATTATATTTATAGCTTGGTGTAATTAATGAAGAAACAGGCCTTTTGAAGGAAGAAGGGCAGGTGGAGCAGAGGTGGTGCAGTGATCTTTCATGTGCATTTAACATGCCCTAGCAGCTGGTTGTAAATTTGCAGCAAGGCAGTGCTGTAGAGGAAGGAGAAAACATACTGAAGAGACCAAATTTGGGTCGGGGTTTTTTTGTTCAGATTTATTGTCTTTTTATATTTCCTCTGCAAAATGTTTTAAGATTAGCTTAAAACTTGCTTTTTGTCAAAATACATGACCATTGGCACTTAAAATAAACATTCAGCAATTTTGGCTTCAGTACCCTTTTGGTCAGGTGCAGGTTACAGCCTGTCTGCCTTCTCACCCATGTGTAAGTAAACTTGCTTTTATCCACATCTCTAATTGCCTTGCTAGTGCGATAAGTTTGGTCATGCAGCCCTAGCAGAGTGGGCATACTCCTTCTGACCATCTGTCTGATCAATCTATTGAGAGATGCCTCTATGCCCCTGTTGTAGTGTCCCAAATATACCAATACCAGCCAAATATGTCCATTCCAAATACACATATTTGTGTACATGTATGAGTATATTTGTGTGTGTACAGATATTTGTTTTCATACTTATTTTTATGTGTTTATATGCGGACTATGTAACAGTCAAGGTAATCAAAGGTTGATTGTTTCTCAGAAAAGGTTTTAAAGTGTGGGAAAATGCATACACGGATTCTTAAATAGAACAACAGGCATCATAAATTACAGGTGCCTTCTGTAATGCATGTTTTAAAATTGCCTTCAGTTCTTTTCGATGCCACATATGAGTTCAGAAAAAGATTTAAGTAGCTTAAATTCCTCTTGGCTCTGTGAAGAGGATCTAACTTTTCTGTTTCACTGTGGAGTGTGTGTATAGAGAGAACTGAGCATTGCCAATTCTGGACTTGCAACAGCTCTTGAGCTGCAGGGGAATTCTGAAATGAGTTTTCTAAACAGGGCTTTGTGAAGTCCTAATAATGAATGGATGGTTGTCTAACATGGTTAAATAGCAGTATGTGGAAACCTGTCTGCTTTGCTTTTTCATTTCTTTGCAGGTGTGATGAAAAGTATTAAATGACTGGGTTTTTTTTTCCTTTTGCTTGTTCTGGTTAAGACTTTCTCCTTGTCTATTTTATACACTCTGCATAATTAAAATTATACCTTTTTGTACTTTAAAATATTAAAGGAATTAGAGGTAATTTCTAAAAGAAAAGTCGAATAGGTGTTTGCTCACGTACCCCTTTTAACCTTTAGGTTTACTTACAGAAGCCATTCCTGATATTTTTACAGCTATTCTTTACTGCCTTCTAACATAATATAATATGCTCTGCTTAGCTTCAGTTATACTTCAGGTTTTTCTTGCATGTAATAGGCTGCTATCTTTATGTTCACCTCTCAAGATGAAAATTTTATAAATAATGTATTGTGTTGTGAAAGATTAATGTTTAATGTTATGCTTAAAGTGGAGCTAAACATGTTATATACACACACATATATGTAATAAAGAATGGCTGACTAGCTTTTAGAAAACTAGCTTTTAGAAAACAACTGCTGACCAGCCTTTAGAGATAGAGAGGGAGGCAGATTTGTACTAACCCTTATGCATATATCCATTGCTGACTAACACACACTTTAAAGATAAGAATGAAGCAGAATCTGCCAAGCGAAGGACACCAGGTGGAATCCTTCAGTCAGACTGTGGGGCACAAGGAACACAAAAGACTGAGCAGGAGAGATAGGGAGGGCAGGTAGCAAGAGCTGGTTCTGTGAATTGGAAAAGACCCAGGATGGTACAGGGCATGTGCCACAGGACAAGTTCAAAAGCTCAACCGTGAGGAAGACTCAGACCTTCATCCCCAATGACCACCAAGGACCCCCGATGGGAGCGTAACTTGGGCGGACTGAGGCGGGACTATGGGAGGAACTTATGTTAATGAATTCCTGGAAAT